AGCAGAATATTTCTTTCTCCGAAAGTATTACACCTATGCCTGAGGGAGCGGGCACACAATTGTCAGGTGTCATGGGGATTTGACACAGAGCGAATAGAAGTCTGTCAACAGCCTGGTCGCTGCGAGAGGGTAGGGCAGATTGTAGTTGAAGGTTCAATAGATTGATCAATTAATTCCTGAACCTCCGAAATAATTGACCGGGTGTCCAATCGACCTATATATACGCAACAGGGTGGCTATAGCCACCCTGATGTGAATTTTCACCTGTGAGGCTCCCAGACGAACGGCCCCCAAATGATTATTGCTGTCTGAAGAGGGGGCGGGGGGCTGTGTCGATTTTCACCGAAATTCACACCCAATCCGCGCATACTCTCGGGAAATTTGGGGTAGTACCATTGGTCTACTCACTATATTTTCTCTTGGAATAGTATGGAATTCGATGACGCATCTTTCTGCAGCAATGTTGTATTGCTATATATGTCTCTCTCCATATTCCGGTAGATTATGAATTTGAACTTTTTATAGCGCGCTTAGGCTGAAAAATCTCCGTTGCAAGTCTCGCTGCAAACTTGCGCTTCTGTTGCCTGTCTCCGTTGCCAGCTCCCTATTACTGAACCCTGCGTTGCGAGCCTTTCGAAACCTCCGTCGCATCCTCTACTATACGCTGCTCAAAGCTTTTGTTACAAGCCTACGTTGCTAGCCATGCGAACACTCCCCTGAGCTTATACTATAATCTGTTTGAAACCCCTGTTGCAAGCCTGCACTACGAGCTATTGAGAGCTTGCAGCGACGACGGCTTATGCGAGAGCTCAGCAGCTAAGGCTTTGTGGAATATTCTTTTTGGGAACTAGTAGTGTTATCGAGATCCCTATGGGAACTAGATGAAGCACAGGAATATCAAACGGACTAGTTGAGAGAAAGGCTTTGTATCTAAAGCAAAGCCGACACAGATTACCTCCTATCACTTAAAGATACTAACCAAAACATCGCCATACTGTGAATACGAAAGCCCATTTTTCTCAATATCATAGTCATTCCAGTACCCACCGCCCGCAACCCCACCAGCCGAAGCCCAGCCAGTAAACTTCGTGCGCGCCTGCGCGACCGTCGTCCCCTGCGCCGGCTTCGAATCATTCGTGACCCAAACAAGCGGAACAACATTAAGCCCCAGCGTACCAGCCCAACTCGCCGGGTTATTGCGCGCGCCGCCATCATAGCACTGCAGATAGACACGATCGAGGAGCAGATTCGGGTCCGCGAGTCCGGCATTCGCCTGCCTGACCACTGAAGTCCAGAAAGCAGTGTTCGTGTACGGCGCAATCGTGTACTTGTACCCGATCTGAGCGAGCATCTGCGCGAATTTCACCGTGCTGGCGACGTCGTAGAGGGACTCGTCGTCGTTGTTCACGGCGTCGAGACCCCATGCCGTTTTCAGCGCCGCGAAGTTCCGGTATAAGGGCGTTGAAGGCCCAGGGCCGGGATTGGTCATTAGGTCTTTGACGTGCTGCGAGTTCATGGAGATTTCGACGCGGTTGATTCCGGATGTTGACGTCTTGAAGGATTGAACTTTCGCGGCGAGCGCTTCGCCCCCTACGTACGTGCCGTTGGAGGCGGCGAGGACGTCGCTGCTTCCGGGCGTGTTGGAGTAGTACTTTTAGAAATAGGTTCAGTATAGCACGCTTATAACCCTTTAAATACTCTGTGGAAACTAGTTACGAAAGATAGAGGCATCGTAAGTGTTGAACCGACGTTTCGGGCATATGTACCAATTGTGCGGTGAGATAGGTTGGAAGGGTACCATACCATTATATCCCCATTACCCAAGATCCCTACGCCGAACATTATCACAGAATTGAACCCAGAAGTCTGTAGCGCCGTTGTATTTGACTTCATCACATCCTTGAATAGGTAGATGCTTCGGATGTTGGACGCAGCTTGGTCGACAGCTGAGGCGAAAGGCTGGAGCAGAAGCTCAAAGAGCACCGCCCCGCGCAGAACCGACCACTTCATCATAAAGACCTAGTCTTCTATTACTTCTCGTAATTATCGCCGAATTTCAAGGTGATATGAGCAGTAAAGTGTAAAAACCCGTCTCTCAATTGTGGTGAGATTGGTGCTTATAGATGATGAAGATGTGCTTAAATGCGACGGCTCATATGAGCACTTTGACAACGAGATGCTCTCAATTTATGTTAGTGCCGATGCGATATCATAAGCAATCTGATCCAATCTCTCTCCCTCACCTACTAGCCCTATAGAGGATTATAATGAAACGCATATGCGCGAAATTGCAATCAGTGTAGTGTTTAGCCGACAGATATTGGTGGAAAGACCCCGATTTCTGTGCTAGGAGTGTAACATTCCTCTCCACTCTCGATGCCGGGTCCATCGTCGAGTCTCTTGGCGTCGGAAGAGCGGCGGCGGTGCATTGGTGTCCGAGAAAAGCTAGATACATAGTATGAAGAAACCGTCACACATGGAAATTTGAAGGACATTCGTGGATTGCGGTAATAAAGATAACGTTGGGTATATAATCGCATCAAAATGCGCATATGTCTATATGAAACAGGTCGTTACGAAATGATCAGAAGCTCTTCCAAAGTTTGCGCCAAAATGGCTGAGATCCGACGTCTACCCGGTTTCTTGTGCCACCGTCTAGATCGCGTCGCCGTCCTGACTGGAGGTCAATCTCGTCCAATCGCCAGAAACGTGTCTTGTTCCATAATTTGAATACTGCGTATATAATGCCGAAGAGAGGGAGGAGGATATAGGCATCCACAAAATCTCCCGCATTGAAAGGCGCGAAGGTGGTCCAGCCCTGGACCACAGCGAGGAAAAGATTGGCGAAGAGCCCAAACCACGCATTCCAAGGGTACCAAAGTGCTTTGAAGGGAAGATCTTCAACTTGGTAGCCCTGCAAATGCCAAGCTTGGCGGAATCGGATGTGGATAAACGAGATCGAACCCCAGACGAGAAACGTGGATACGCCCGAGAGATTCACGATATATGAATAGGCGTTCGCAGCGCCGGCCGAGATGTTGAGAAGCGACAGAGCGCCGAATAAGTTGGCAAAAGTGATTGCGGGGATTGGTACACCGCGTCGGTCGGTCCATCCGAGGAACTTCGGAGCTTTGCCATCCTGGGCCATGAATAATACAGTCCTTGACGCGATATAGATGGAACTATTGATGGCTGATATGCAGGTGACGAGAATAAAGCCGTTAATTAGATGGACACCACCCTGCCACCCAGCATTTTGAATGGCGATCGTCATGGGACTTTGAAGCGCACGACTAGCGCCATTCACAAGACCGCTGGCGTTCGAGGGGCACGTAAGCCCATAGAAAAATGCGGCTCCAAGGTAGACGAAGATGATGCGCCAGAAAACTTGGCGAATAGCCAAGGGCACAGCGACACCAGGGTTCTTCGTCTCAGTAGCGGCCACGGCGATGGACTCGACTCCCGCATAGAAAGTACTACAGAAAACGAATACCTTTGCGACGCCAGCGAACCCGTTTACGAAGGGGCCGGGATCATGCCAGTAACGGAACCCGATCGCATCGGCTCCGATAACGCCGCCAGAAGCGTATCTAGAGAGGTTAGACAAGAAACCGGGAGGCTTAGTAAGCTTCGAGAAAGGGAACTTACACGATGGCAAAGATATAGTAGGCAATTAAACCCGCTAGTTTAATAAGAGCAAGCCAGAATTCAGCCTCTCCGAAAGTTTCAACTCCAAGAAATTGGAAGCCAAGGAACGCAGTCTGGGTAGGGAGCATTTAGAAAGAATTCGGAACAGGGACATGAGGTGCAACCTACCCATAGCAAGAGAAAGTATCCCCATACGGGAACCTTGTCACTCCAAAACGAGAGAATACTCGTTACGGCATTATACTCGTTCGCGAGCACAGCAAACCAGATGATGAAGTAATTCCAGCCGACCGCGACTCCGAACGCCGGGTCGACAAACCGATCGGCCAGCTTTGTAAATGCGCCGCCCGAGGGATAGAGCGTAGTGAGTTCTCCCAAGCTCTGCATGATGCTGGCGCAACAATGTCAGCTACCTACCTAGGTAGATGAGATGCACCATAAGGGATGCGAAGCCTCACCTAAAAGCAATAATACCAATGAGGCCAAACCCGATAATGAGCGATGCCGGGCCGCCTTTCGCCAATGCGCCGCCGCTGCCGACGAGCAGTCCCGGGCCAATGATGCCGGCCTGTGCAATGTGATTAGTGAATCGCAATGCAACAAGAATAATAAAGCTCATAACTAACCAAGGCCATCATGCTCAGATGCCTGGTCTTCAAGCCTCGCTTGACGCCCGAGTCGGGATCGATTTCTTGAAAATCCAAGCGATCGGAATCCACATCGAGCGGCCCCAGGGGCGCGTTCGAATCCTTCGGGCTGGCCATTGCGACGAGGTATCCCGGCGACCGGGGCGAGGGAGAAAGGAAGAAAGACGGAGAACGGCAACACTTTCCAAGTGATTAAAGATATTGAATGTTCAAAAACGAGAAATAATGTACAGATGTATAAGTAATTATAAAAAGAGTTCTGAACTCCTTCGCGCTCCCATCTCCCTCTTCTGTCAGGCTAGCGTACACTACACTACGCTATATACACTAGGCGTGAGGCTTTCAGTGGGGAAATCTACGTTTCCGTACACTCGGCGAGATTGCGTGATCGATACCCTGGAGGCTGGAGGTGGTGAGAAAAAAATTCTGTATGCATGAAAGCCATGACTTTCTTTTAAGCGAGGTCGGTATGAGTAGCGTAGTCGCGAAGGTTTTGCGCTGGAAGAACACCACCGAGTCGTACGTGGATGAATGCGCTCATAGAACCACGGAAAAAACCATGGGAGGGATGCATGCCGCTGGAGGATGATCGCAGCGATTCTTTTCCAACAACGCCAAAAAATCTTAACTGAGATACAAACATCATAAAAATTTTCCCTTGACAGAAGACCACTTTCATGGATCCTATCGCAGGTACTGAAATTCTGACAAGAAGGGGATTCGAACCCCTGCCTCTTTCGAGAGTAGAAAGCCCGCGTTTTTCACAGGTAAACTGATCGCTTGAGTCTACCGCCATAGACCAACTCGGCCATCTTGCCATTGCTTGTTGGACGCCTCCCAAGCAATTCATTCCATATTCTGAGCATGGAAGAGTCGTGTCAGCGAATGAAGTTGACCAATGGCGGACGACAAAGCTGTCCAGAACCACACGAAAACGTCTTGAGAGATAGTGAAATGAGAGATTTCTTTTCGGTCGCTTAGTTTGAAGACCGATTCATATTGAATTTCTCGCGATAGGTCTATCGGAGTTACTTAGCCCATCTACTTCGTACTGTAGACCAAAGAAATCCACAGGTAACGGCTGCAGCGAAAGAGGATAGGAAATTCTCCTACTCCGTACTCCGTATACGTACACACAGAATTCATCCACGCACAATCATCACGCTCATTCATCACCATCCCTATCCCATCAATTCCTTCTAAACCCATTATCCCGACTTCGACCCGGATTATACTCCGTCACAGTCGCCACGCCAGCAGCCCAAGGCTTCTTTTCCTCCTGCAGTCTCTCCCCGTCCGCGGGGGTCTGCGGCGAGACGACGGTGAAGACTTCCGACCGCGCAACGGCGGCGTAGCTCCGTCGCTTGGATACGAAACTGCGATAGAGAAAATGATTAGTTATTGCATCACTGCGAAGGAGTGCATGCGCATTTCTTGCTGCTAAAACTACTGTGGAGGGAGGGGAGAGAGGGGAGTGACTTACTAGATACCAGCCGCGACAGCAATCAGGAACGGCACGCCAAGACCCACGCTGAGGCCGACAATCAGCGGTATATTCGCACCCGCGCCCTTCCTCTGTGCTTCCTGATTCGCCTCACCGCCTTCACCTGCTCCCGCCCCAGCTGTAGTCGCACTTGACGACGACGGCGGCGGCGGCGGCGGAGGAGGTGGAGGCGGGGGAGGGACATACGACACAGGGCTCCCGCTCGTCGCATTCACAGCCTTGACATTCTCCGCTCCGAACGGAATCATCGTCGCAATCGCATCCTGCGTGGTCGCCGGGAACGTAGCCTTCGCGCCCGACGGGACGGTAGTCACGAGCGTCGTCGTGCTGGTCACTTTGGTCCGGCTCTGCAGAGATGCTGGACAGGCTGCTAGTCCGGTGGATAAGCACACTGTCCCGGTGTATGTGATCTCGTCGCTGAGGGTTGTCGTCGTCATGCTTATACTCATACTCTTGTCTGCTCTCGCGGCGATGTTTGAGGTCGGAGTAGGGGTAGGGGTCGTAAGGATGCTGGCAGAGGCGGTTTTTGTGGTAGCGGATTTCACGCACGCGTCCGCGAGCGTTGTGTAGAATATCGGTATACTTGTCCCGGGATTCGGACCGTAGGTCTCGGGCCCGACGACGAGCGTCGCGCCGGCGGCGGCGCCGAGCGCGAATTGGTAGATTTGTTCCACGCGCAGCTGGCAGTCTGTGTCGTCGCCGTCTGGCACCGCTGTGATATTCGTCGTGAATTCGGCCAGATCGGCGTATACTACGACTTCTGCTCCTGTACTGACTGGTAATAGAGCGTTGTCGCTGAATTCTTCGGAGATACCCGCGTGCAGGCCCACGCGTAACGTTGCTGAAAGGACGCCGTTGGCGCTGTTGACGGTGACCGGTAGGAATTCGAAGGATCCTCCGGGGCTGGTGTGAATGATCAGTATCAGGTTCCACGGGTCTAAAACACGGTATGATGTTGTATGGATTCGAAAGCCACTTACAAATTCACGCTGGACACATTTTGGCCGAAGAGCGAAAGGTCTAGCGTCATCCCATCATCAACTTTGAGGTGCAGGCCGCTGCTGATATCGATGTCTGCATCCACGCCCAAGATAAGATCGATTGACGCAACCACTCCCACGAATGTTTCGCTGTCGATCGAGAGTCCAAGCGGAGTGTTGCTCGAATAGAGGTTAAGCGTATATGAAACACCCGCAGAAAGAACAGTGTCGATTAACATATACAGCTCGAAGTCGTCCAACTCGAAGTGCAGCCTGCACTCAGGGATATCGGGGAAGTCGACATTGAAGCTGACGTTCAAGGGCGGAAAGTCAACGTCACTGAAGTCGAGATCGTCAGTCAGGTTCGAGAATAGGTTTGGGATTTGATCGTCGAGGTAATTGATGGCACTCGATGTGATATTGTCGATCTCCTCTCCGACATCACTGGTGAAGTTCGTGATTGCTTGGCCGATGTTGAATTCTTCGTCGAACCCAAGCTCAGCTGTGACGCTCCCTTTCACATAGCACGTTACGCACGTCACTTCAATCCCAGTAGATACCGATACACCACTTTTAGTTGGTACTGAGATTCCACTGTCAAGCAAGTCAGAAATGGCCGTTCAGACCTCGCCGTCGTGTATTATATGGATGCTCTTACAGGCTGAAAAGAGTTGCTCCATTCCAACTCTTTGCTATGTTCGTTGAGTTTTTCGGTTTATTATCGCGGCCTAAGAGCCTGTTATTTTGTATCGCTCTTCCGACAGAGCGTGCAATGTCTGATTGTGGACTTCCTCGAATTTCAAGGTCATGCTGTCCACTAATCGCACCCACGTTCGATACCAGCACCAGACTGAGTAACGACGAGTACATAAAGTTCGCTTTCATGATTATTAAAGATATTATAACGCTTCAATAAGGAGGAATATTGATCATGGATAACATGACGATAGAAACCACAGAACCATCGAATGCACGGAACCCAAGACCCCAGCTAACCACGGTTCTTATTAATGACGCATCTCTAATACATATTGCCATCGACCCCATCCTTCGAAACGATAAGGTTGCATTCTACGTACGGATTCAGCAAACTCGACTGAGATTGTGTCTGACCGGCGCAGTGCATACATACACACACACATACATACATAAGCACATACATAGACAAACTTGGGTAACGAGCCTGCAGCAGAGTTGAGTCTGCATCTAACACGGAGCCCGATACTGTTTCAAGCCTCTTCCTTTCGCCGCCGAACTAAGGCTAGCGAGGTGGCCTGAGGTTGCAGCAGGCGAAGGGAAGCTCCCGCAAATACTACGCTACGCTACGTCCGAGAGATGCGATGCGGGTGCAGTGCAAGTGCAAGGGTTCCGCGGAGAGGGGCCTTTTGAAACATTGTTGGTTCAACTTGCATAATTGCTTCTGTGTGATCCTCCGCCCCCCCGCGCGACCCCCCGCCGTGATCCACGGATGCTTTGGGCAGGTGAACGGATCGCTGGTGAATGACTCTGCTATGAATAGAGATTTTTAGACAGGAAAGGAAATCGACCCCAAGCACTTCTTGCATTGGTAATCTTGAAGCCTTACCGAATTGGTATGGGAGGTAGAGTTGTGAGTATGACCTCCCCATCTGCCTCGATTTGAATAGCTACCACGAACTTCGTTGTGGTGCATTACTAACCCGCACATCAAACAGCAACTTGGTATAGTATTGGCCAACACACCTATGAGCGAAACTCCTGGCCGTCCCAACCTGCAGCCTTCATGTAGTGACAACAATGTTTGCGTTTCAATATCTAGTCAACAGATGGTCGCTCTCATGTCAAGCAATGTGTAGCGACAATTGACCCTGGTATCTCCACTTCTCATTCACGTCTGTTGGGACGCAGAGGCAATGTGCATACATAAGTGCTTCGCTCTAAGAATAGCAAAACCTGTATCCCGTCTACATTGACCCAGCCACTAATGGGCATACCAACAAACATGTCGAAAAGAAATATCTCCCCGCGTGAATTTTCTGCAAGCCACGACTGTTCATCAATACTACCTACAGTAAGACATCTACCTATTCATAGTAGTAGTGGCTTGATCGAGGCTTGACCTGTCTTCAACAACCCCCTGCGCGTCTAGACAGCGAATCTCACACCTCGTCAATCCCAGGCTATCAAACATTAAGTAGGCAGAATGACACCCAGATTCTTCACCTGCTCGGTAGCAGACTGCGAGAAGCCATCTGTCCGAGGGACAGGCGGCTGCGATAGCTGTCAGCGGTACTTGTGCGTTACGCATAAGGCTCCTGAATTCCATACGTGCGACGACGTAAGTAAGAGCAAGCTAGCTTTATATCTATGTACACACACATATATACACACACACACACACATACACATACTCACACACACACACACACTTCTCAACGAAATATTACAGGCTCTCTCTTAAAAAAAAATTAATAAAAACTTCACTCATTATTAACACAGCTACTTGGTAGTAGACCCTAGACGACTCAACCTGGTCCTCACAAATTCTCACCGAACTCGCGCGTCTGCGTTCCCGGATCAACGACACAGCCGTATGCGCGCTCGCGTCCCGTCTCAATGGCGGGCTGCCTTGTACCATCGAGCACTCTACTGACAAAATCGGCCCCGGCGCATTGATGGGGTGCGCGAACTACCATGCGCGGATCCGTTTCCACCCCAACAAAGACGGCTCACCGTCTCCATCCCGGAACTGGTTGTTGCGCGTCCCCCGCGTAACAAGTTTCGCCGTCGGGTTCCCAGAAGAGTTAGTCGAGTACCTAGTCCGCAGCGAGTTCGCGACACTGAAGTTCCTCGAGACTACCAGTGTCCCGGCGCCCAAGGCTTTCGCGTACGGGATCTCTAGTAGAAGTAACAGTGACAATAGGAATGGGGAGAGGGAGGACTACGGCGTCGGCGTGAGTTTCCTGCTCATGGAAGAACTACCCGGACGTCCGTGGATGGGGAATTCCGGCGATAGTGTGACGGAAGAGGAGAGGAAGAAGATCTGGCGTGGCCTGGGTGATATCCTGGCTGAGTTGGAACGGCATCCGTTCCCGAAGGCGGGGTCTTTGTGCCTCCAGGGGTCGAGTATTGAAGTATCAGCTGTCGCGAGCGATCGATTCGTAGTCCTGACCCCCTCAGGCCCGTTCGATACTTCGAGTTCTTACTACACGGCATTTGCGGAGCAGTATTTGGCGCTGATTGCGGATGGGCAGCTGTATACCGAGTATCCGGTCGATGCGTACTTGGTGTACCGCTTTTCGAAAGATAACGCCGGGCAGCTGGCTCAAGAGGATACGGGAACACGGGGTCCGGA